CATACAGGCGACGGTAAAGGAGCGTTCCAGATCGGCGCTGTGACAAAGGCCGGCAACTCGTGCCTGCCTCGCCTGGTGACGGTTGTGCACGGCGAGCCGCCAGTCCTCGACTACGCCTTCACGGGCGTGCTGCGGCTGTACAGCGTGTACACGGAGGAGACCCTGCTTGCCGGCACCCTGGACGACCCCAAATCCATCTGTCTGGAGCTGGCCACCGACTCACTCACGAAATTCCGCCTAGGGCTTAACGAGGCGGCCATCAAGAAGACGTGTGAGTACAACAACGCGCAGCAGATCTGCGAGTCGTTCGGTCCAAAGTTCGTCTCGGGGATCAAAGTCTCCTTCTCTCTGACCCCCGAGTACCCAGACCTCGATGACGTAGATCTGTCGTTCTACGAGAACTCCAGCGACGCACAAGAGGTGAACGCCAACAACGAGTTTGAGATCGCCTGGGGCTCCGTGAAGAAAGCAAAACTTCTGACGTCGTCATCCGCGAGCAACGATGACGTAGACGGATCGCCGCCATCATTATCATCATCATCAGCTGTTGTTGACGACTCACGTGACGACCCGTCGCTAGCCCCGCCCCTCTCAGACTCTACAACCGTTGTATTACAAGAAGTGGGCGTGTCTGCAGACGCCGGTGGGCGGGATCAAGGTTGGAGTGAGCGCGAGGAGGCGTGGCCTGACGTGACACGTCACACTGACGACACGGAGACGGAGACCACTCGGGATTTGTTCCCCCTCCAGAGTGTGCCCGCGAGCGGCCCGGGGGTCACGACCCATGACCTCACCCTCCGACCCCCGGACGAGCTGGAGGCGATGAGCGAGAGCCGGGTCACCGACAACCCGCTCTTCTACTACTTCCAGCGGAACCCGGACACCCGCCCGCCGCCCCCCTCTCTCCCGGGGGAGGAGAGGGACAGCGACAGAGGACACTTGCTGGACCTCTCAGCAGACAACACACGGACAGACATCACACGGACAGACACACAGTCTGACAGTCCACCCACTCACCCCACCCTCCTCCCCACACGTGACAGTCCGCACCAACCTGCTGTGAGTGAGCTGCCCACACTCCCCACACACAAAAGAGACCACGTGAGCAAACGTGAGCCCATAGCCCTTGCGCGGATGTTCGAACCTCCGCCCAGCGCGGGTAGGGTAGAAGAGACAACAGGCGGGGATATCCATGACTGTGGTTCGAACCTTGTGGTAGGTGCGGATATACGTGTAGATAAACCCGAGTCTATCAGTTACAGCGAGGAGCTGTGTAAATCAAACAGTGAGTCAGATCCCACTCTTGTGTTCACCACCGCCGCCACCACCACCACCATCATCAACAACAATAACAACAACAATAACAACAACAGCAGCAACAACAACAGCAACAACAACAACAACAACAACAACAACAGCAACAACACGTTGCCAAGCGGTCAGCCAAACGTTCCCGCGAGGAGCGAGCCCACTGACCACGTGACAACGCCAACTGACCACCCGCCCTTCCCTCCCCCGCCCGCCTGGTACACAAACCCTGCCGGACATGCGCAGACACCCGCAGTGTTCTCTCAGCCGGCCATGATCGCCTCGCTCTCCTCTCTGTCTTCTCTGGAGAACGTTGGAGTGAACGACACGCCGCCGAGGAGGAGGAGAGGAGAGAAAGAAGAGCAAAGAGAGCAAGACGAGGAGGACTACGCCGAGGTGGAAGAGGTTCTGGCCGGCTTTGAGCTGGACACCGTGGCTCTCACCCCCGCGCGGGAGTACGCAGAGAGCAGTGACGTAGGCAGTGACGTAGGCAGTGACGTAGGCAGTGACGTGGACAATGACGTGGAAGGTTACGTGTCTGAGGAGTCCCCGGGGGCCGGGCATGGCCAGCACGACGATGATGACGTATATGTGGTCAGTTGGGACAAAGACGCGGTCACTGACCCGGACATCGCCGGCAAGACCCGGGCAGACGAGCACACAGTGACGCCTGGACTGGTGACGTCAGAGGGCAGAAATGACGTACACCTAGGTGTAGCATCCACGTCATGGGCAGGAGACGAGGAAACAGGAGACGACAACGACGACGATCTCGATAACTTGTTCTCATTTGTTCAGGAACATGAAGACGAGGAGGAGGAGGAGGAGGAAGAGGAGGAGGAGGAGGAGGAAGAGGAGGAGGAGGAGGAGGAGGAGATAATCCACCCTCCAGAAACACATTATATTACCTTCCCGAGTTCAGAAGCCACCGAGCCACCTCTTGCGTCACACAGAAACCTCCTACAACCCACCACCACGTCACCGGACATTGACCCCGCAAGCGATGACGTCAGCACACAACCCCCGGTTGTCATGGAAACAGACAAATCGTCTGCCCAGGCCGTAGAGAGACTGACCAGTCTGATAGACGAAGTGACTACCCTGGTCAACACGTCCAGTGGCCGGATTCTGGACGCGCGCCGACTGGACACCAGCTTTGAGAGACAGTCTAGAGACACCTCGCCCTCTGCCACGGGCGCAACTACCCCGGCCACAACTCCGACGGGCGCCACGTATAACGTGGCGCGGACTGACACTGTGGCTAGCTCTGTGGATGCACCTTCTGACCCCTCCCTTCATAAACCATCTACACACCCCTCCTCCCTTACATCACCCACGCACCCTTCCCCTCTCACATCACTCACATACCCCTCCACCCTCACACAGCCCACACACCCATCCCCCCTCACACCACCCACACACACCGACCAGACATTTACTATCATCGACCCGCACTCTCCGCAACACCCTCCAACCGCCCGACACATCACCCTAAGCACGCCACACAGCAAGAATCCGAACAGTTCCCCTGACAACTCACCAACCAACAACCCTGACCCTGACCTTGACCGTGACCGTGACCATGACCGTGACCGTGATGCTGACCCTGACCCTGACCTTGACCCTGACACCACCATGACCGTTGACCTTTCCGTGTCCAGCATTTCCCACCCACCCATCAACCTACCACCAGACTTTCCCCACACCGAGGTGAAAAAGAAAAAATCCACTCCCTGGAACAGGAAGAAAAAGCTCCCCGGTCTGGCTGGGGTTTACACAGGTCCGGCCGACTCGTCGTTTGGTGGACTCAGGCGGAGCCAGGGCCAGAAAGATCTGGCCAGTATCGGTCAGTTGCCCACGTCTGGCGCTGACGTCACGCTGCATAAGTTTCAGTCGGACTCGAACCTCAGCAGTGTGATCAAATACGAGAGACCAGTCCAGAATAGGTTCGGTTCTTCCCGCATCAACCACCACCCCCACCACCACCCACACGGGCATGGGCATCAGAAAGCGTGCGCTCAAAGTTTGTCTCACAACAGCAGCAGCAACAGCAGCAACATCAACATCAACAACAACAACAGCAGCAGCAACAGCAACAACAACAGAAACATCACCACCACCCCTCCAGACAGCAGTTACGCACAGCACAACCGGCCAGAGGACTTGCACAATTTGCCCACCGCGTCACGTGACGATGACGTCACACTAAAGGCCACACCCCCACAGCAGCCCGCGTCCTCTTCCTCCTACTCACGAAGCACGCCTCACGGGAGCGTCTTGTCGTCTGTTCAGAACTTCGAGAGACTCCACTCCAACATCAGCACCAGCAGCAGCAGCAGCAGCATCAGCAGCAGTACCAGAGACAGCTTCAGTCGCACCCGGCCACCTCCGTCACGCCGTGACCTTGACCTTGGCGCACGACCTTCCTCTCACCGTGGTGCCGAGGTCAAGGTCGTTCACATGGCAGACGTGCACACGCCGTCGGCGGTGGCGGCGGCGGAGCGGGACAGCCGCATCACGCCCACCGAGAGTGAGGAGGAGGAGGTGGTGAGGATAGAGGAACAGTTTGTCCTCTCTAAGACTGGGAGGCTGAGGGCGGGGAAGGGAGGAGCGAGGAGATCGGTGCTGGTGGGGTTAATGTCCGGGGAGGAGAACGAGGAAAACTTTGTGTAGAAAGAGTCGGTACTGCTAGTGTTAATGTCGGGGGATGAGGAAGTCGGTGATATTGGGGTTGATATCCGGGGAGGGCAATGAGGAAAGCTTTGTGAAGAGAGACTTGGGATAGTTGGGGTTAATATCGGGGAAAGATGAAGTAGAGTGTGTTTGGGTTACTGTTGGGGGAGGAGAAGTCGGGGATGCAGGGGTTAATGTTGTAAGAGGGCAATGAGGAAAGCGTTTTTTTTAGTTCCTGGCAGGTCGAATTCGATTCCCGATTTGGGAGAAAGTTTTATCGAGTATCCGAGTCTGTCTGCTGGAAAGTTGAATCAGTCTCTAGGTTGGACCTGACAGACAGGGTCGGAAGCCCGCCTCCTGAATGACCTAAAGTGTGTGGATGGCTGTGTAAAAACACCAACATTAAAAATGCAGAAATTTGGGGATGTGTGGGAAACTACGCAAGGTTTCTGTCAGGGGAGGGAATCGAGGAAAATGTTGTGTAGAAGTTACATTATGTCGGTTGTCTTTTCTTCCAGTCTCCTGGGGGTAAACAATATTGGTTTGGGGTTGTTGTTGTTGTTGTTGTTGTTGTTGTTGTTGTTGTTGTTGTTGTTTTTGTTGTTGTTGTTGTTGTTGTTGATGTTGTTGTTTTTCGTTTTTTTGGGGGGTAGGGGGTATTCAAAACAAAGAAACGTTTTCATTTTAAAAAAATGTATTGCTATTTTCAGTTCTCCTTTTGTTTGTTTGGTTTGGGGTTGTTGTTGTTGTTGTTGTTGTTGTGTTGTTTTTTTGGTGGGTTGTTTTTTTTTGGGGGGGATCCTTTTGACGAAGCAATATGTCTTTTAGTGGTCTTAGAGGGAAGTTATTGGAAAGTAGCCGAGTTCTCAGACTGTCTCGTCTGTTCATGTTTCACGAACGTTGCCTCCCACAGATGTGGATCAACAACGGTGGATCAACAACGGTGGATCAGAAACAGTGGACTATCCACGAACTTTCCCAACTTGACTGAAGATCCTCAAATTATCCGCTTCTGCAATGGGTTCTCTTCTATAGTGCGATCAAAATTCGTGGCGCATCTTATCCTCAAATAGATCTATCTCTCTAACTTGTGAATCCGCAGTTTTGTATCAATTTGTCTTAACTGAATCATTTGTGAGGCAGCGTGTTGGAATCAGGCTCTCGTCAAAATAATCAAAGTGAAGAAACTTGCATTTTTCTGCAGGTTTGTGGGTTTTTATCAAATTTTTGTTTTTTGGCTCAACACCTTTCATGTCCATTCAAAGACTGATATCTTTGTGGATTTTACTTTAAAACGTATGGACTCTTAAGCTAAGGAAATAACTAATCTTTGGCGGCCAATTTCTCACTAATTTTACCTATAAAAACTGGTGACCCTTACCTCCTTCTTTCGCAAATATCTAGACTTGTATTGAAGATAAATGGATATTTGTTTCATCCAAATAAAGACAATTGAACAAGCTTTAAGATGATACCAATAACTCTACATGCCCAAAAATTGACGAGAGCCTGATTCCACCACGCTGCCTCA